CTCATAGATCTGGTATATTGTAATTTGTAGTTAAGTTAATTATATACTTCAGGAGTTTGTTAATCTTTGTGATATTTTTTTTTTATAATATTTTGATAATTTTTATCCAAGTGTTAAAGTTTTTTTGTATTAGTTGAAAAGTATTATATTAGTGAACAAGTATTGGTAAATATAGATATATATAGATAAATGTAGATATATAGATATAAATACATCCAGGTATATATAAGTAGGTGTATATATATCTAGGTAGGTGTAAGATGTACTAAATTGTAGAGATTAATATAAATTAAATATAATTTTGCAAATTAATAAAATTGTTATAAATCAAAAGAAAATATAGATTATTGCTAAGTTTGAGTAAAATAATATTCGATATAGGATCTGTTATAAAAAGACAGATTTATAGAATCTAATTCAATATCTGGTGTATAGTTGGATATATAATAAAAGTTGTTGTAAAAAGATAGACATATAATTTTTTCTTATTTATAATCTACAAGTTTCAAGAATGATATAATACAAAGTTATTACAAAAAGATAGATTTATAACTTCAAATTGTATTTCTCTGGTTTGAATCTGATATATTCTTAATATATTAAAGGCAAGTATTTCTATAAAAGTTCAGGGTTCTTCAAAACTAATACTTTGTTAATTTATGAATCAATAATAAAATCAGAATTATTGATTAGTATTGATATCATTGTGATAGTGATAAAATATTAATAATATTATTGTATTTCATATATTTGTATTACTTTAAGAAACTAAACTATAGAAATACTAATGCTAAAAGATATATGTTCTATAATGGCCAAAATATCGCTTATTGCCCTAACCCTTAACCCTATCGTCCATTACAGTTAAGTGAGTGATATCCAGACATAATCTAAGAATTTGATAAAAAGGATTTAAAGAATTAGAAAAGTTTTTAATTGAAAAAAATAATTTCAAAGTAATACATTATATAAGGATTGAAAAGCAATTTGATATATTTTTATATATAATTATAATAGATCTTTTAATATACAAATTAGCTAAAAGATTTCAAAAAAGCTATAAAACTATTAATTGTATTTATTACAAAATTATATAATACTTTTTTGTTCTAGATCTTTATAATACTACAATATCTTCAATATTAAAGAATATTCTTATATTTGATTGAATTCGAAAGAATTACAACTATTGGCCTTGATTCAAAGATTGCTATAAAGTTATAAATAGAATATATATACCTATATTATCTTTTATCAAAAATCGAATTTCTTCCCAGAATTATAAAAATAACTTTCTTAGAATGTTTTAGTTATTTATAACTTTGATATATTTTTTATAGATTTATTATATGGATGAAAAAGCAATATATTCGATTCTATATTTTAAATTAAAGAAATATAAAACGAATCTTTCAAAATACTACAAGAAAAGTATATACTAAAAGATATAAGGTTTCCAAATTATAAGACTTGTCTAATATTTTATAAAGATATTCAATATTATTTACAAGAATAGTAGAGAAGTAATAAAAGATCTCAGATTGAAAATAAGTTATTTAATTTATAATATTTGTAATTATAGAATATAATTGAAAGGATTTTTGGGATTATAAAAAAGAGGTTCTATATATTGAGTAAAATAAAATCTTTCAAAATTCAAGCTCAAGTTTGTATAATTATTATAATATATATTTTGTATAATATTCTAATCAAATTAGAAGAACTTGAAAATGATATAACCCTTATTAATATTCTCTTTGATAATATTAATAATAAAGATAATGAATTAGATAAAAATCAATGTTTTGAATAAGGATATTATATTATAAGAAAAGAAACAACTAGAGTTTTTGAAAAAAAGAAAAGAGATTACTATTGCTATATAAGAAAATTATCTACAAAGATTAGAAAGAGTTTAATAAACAAATTCAAGTTTTTAGTTTATAGAATAATTATTCTCTATCAATTATTATTATTTCCATTGCCTCTATTGCCTCCATTGTCTCCATTGCCTCCGTTGCCTCTATTGCCTCCATTGCCTTCATTATCTCTATTACCTCTATTGCCTTCATTGCCTTCATTGCTTTTGTTATCTCTATTATTATCCTTATCTTTATACTGAGAATATTCCTAATCAATATATAGATCCTGAAGATATTCACTAGATTCTAGTTATTGTTTAAATTATTTTTGATCCAGATTATTTGAAGAGTTTTCTTCTTTAATGCTAAGTATATACAAGTTTTGATAAAATCTTTAAAGATATTAAATATCAAAATAATGTCTAATTTTGTTAAAATAATTTTTATTCTAAATTTGTTATTGAGTTTAGTTTTGTATAATAAAATCGAT